CGCTTTGTTTGAGATCCGTTGCAGGGCATGTGAACTTCTTTGTAAACGGGCTTCTTCCTAGGTCATTCGCTTGCGACCACTTACTGGAAAGACTTGCCTTATGCCTATCCCTTGTTTGCTGGATTTTCCTTGCCAGATTTCCTTTCAAAACTACTGCTTGTCCTGTTAGTCTGTTAGATCGCATGGACAGAACTCAAAATTACTAATTAATGGCTGGCAGGTAACGGGAAATGAATGGAATGGCATTGGCTTATGGGGCACTCCCTCTGGATGGATTAAGATAACAGGCCTCGTCCCAAAGCAAAGGAAGAAAGAGGCTTGCTCACATAAAATATCCCAGCAAGGGAAAGATAAGCCCCATAGCGTATTCAGGTATATCCGCAATCGCATATTATGGGCCATCTGCAGCCTATATATATGTATTTCCTGCAATGTCCAGGCCATTTCCTTTCGATGGCAGATCCCGTGGAAGTTAACTTTGTTTTGCTGTCGGACCAGGAGAGTGAATCGAATAGGTTACATAGGCAGGACAGGCGAGTTCTCATACATTTCCTGGCGCTGTTAGCCTGCCCTAATCTACTTCCTTCTCCTTTTTAGAAGTTACTGTTTACTCATCTTTTCCGAAGTGAGCATATACTTAATCTCCCCTAGTGTAAGAAAGTTGATTTCTATTTCTAAAACTTGCCTCTTGTAAGTGAGTGTATAAAATGGCATATCTAAGTTAGTTTGAAAGCCGGGTTATTAAAATACCAATGCCCTCTTTTGACATTGTTCGAGTTCTCTAGCGCCTGAGTCTGTTACGGTGAGTGAGGAAGCCTTTAAATTGAAAGCAGGCCTTTCTTTTATTCAAGTAGGAATTATAGGCAAGCTAGCAATTCTTCAAGTGAGAGTTTACATCCAGTGCTACATTTAGAGTTCCAGTTGCAGGAAAGGGAAAGAGACTTAGGAGAGCCAGCAGGCGCCAGCAAGCTAGGTTTTAAGTGAGCAATCTTGTGATTTCCTTGCCATCCAATTACAATTACAGTTGCTATCTAGTTTCAGTGCCTGTGAGTAAACCAGTTCAAGCAAGGGTAAAAGCATATTCCGATTCCGACTAGCTGATTATAGAGTCATATGCTAGGCCAGTTTCCAATCATCCTGTTTTTAGTTTGTCGTGCCAGGCGAGCAAATGGGTTCCCTAGGCAGTAATTGGTTGCAGGGCATTTTCCTTGGATGTTTTTTCTGTCCTATAGATATAGAACAACAGGTAAAGCCTTAATTAAACCTTTGGGTGATCAAAGAAGAGAATCAAGGCTCCTCTCCTTTTCTAGGAATCTACAACTCTCTTTACTGAGCGAGACTCTACCCAGATCTAAAGAATTCGCCAAAGAGCCTTCTTCTAACTAGGAGAGTCAGCAAGCTACCGGAAGCGAAGCTTCTGGCTCCCCCTTTGAATTTCCAATTCCTTCTTTTCGTTCTACTTAGGTGGAGCAATCCGAACTCTCGACAGAATATAAAAGAGCGTCTTCGAACCTGTGTAGACACCTCAACGAACTCATGTGGACACTCCTCAGCCCGAGCCGAGGACAATTTATCAAAAATACACATTAAGATGTTGACCCGTTTTTCTTTTCTTTGCTGATTCCTCTCAATTAAATTTGCCATGTTGCACTAAGTTACTTACGTATGTATGCATGCGGTCCGGGAACACTTTGGGGTGAACACCCATCCGAACAAGTAGGGTCAATAGTTCAGCATTTAGGCCGTAACATTTAGCAACAAAAAAATCTTTAACCCAACAAGTGCTCTCCGAACCAAGCTAGATAGTCTCCTATCACTAGGCTCACCAACCAACCTGGACTTTTATTCTGATTATTCCTACCGGATATCAAAACCATAAGGAAGGATTGTTTCCAGCCATGAGTTCCCATATTACATAAGCGCTCTTGGGTGGGCCATTCCATCAAATCTTTGAGAAGGGGCCCAATCTCGTCTTTTATGGTCGGCGTGGCGATAGGCTTCGCTTCTACGACTGCCTCCCCAGCCGTTGCAAAGACTGAGCGAGAACGGTAAGGGGCGGAATGTCGTTGCGCGGGGATGCGATTAGCCAAGCTGGGGCAAACAAAGCCGTCCGGCCCCCTACCGGATTAGGAAAGCGAAGGCCTTTCCTTCGAAAGGAGACCGGGTAAATCAAGAGCTATGCTATTGACCGACCCTTTCGTAGTGACTTCGAATCAATAGTCCTATCCTTTTTTATCATTTTGTTTGAGGCGGGCCGAATAGAGAATTAAATGCAGAAATACGGGAAGAGTTCCAAACCGGTTTAAGGGTTGCTCGCCCTACCGAAGTACTAAAGGCTTTCGAGGCTTACACCTCCCTATTACACGACCTAAAAAAAGGTAGCTTGTTGTAGCGCCCTTAGAAGAAATCTAAGCCTTTTGAAGCGCCAGTAGTTGTAGCTGTGGCCACACCAACCCTTTCGTTCTTATCGCTCCGGGTTTCTATCTATATGACCTCCGGGCGGTACAAAGTAAACCTCTTCCGTAGAGGCAGGTAGTAACCTACCTAACCTTTAAGAGTATGTTCAAGGGGGGGAGCCCTCTTATCTATCAATGGAAAGATCTCCGTGCGTGATAAGGAATCCTAGAAAAGATCGATTGAGACTCCCTCCCCGGTCCCACGAAGATCTCTACGTACTTGTCAAGTCCAGGACAACTGAGATCTTCCGGTCTGCGTGCGTGGGAGCAGCTCAAATAAAGAAGAGTCTGGTCTGAATTCAGGCCCGGCCCGCCCGTCTGCTGCTAGATCCGGGAATGGCGCCAGGCGAGGGCGCCGCTATGCCCCACAGCTCTGCAGCGGCCGGCCCCCGGACTATGCAAAAGAATAGAGGCCGGGGGGTCTCGCCCATAGTGGTTCCCCCCGCCTTTGGTGATTGACCAAACTAAGAGGCCTAGATCTGTGCCCCTTAATGAATCGAATGGTCCTTCGGCCCCTTAATTTTATTCCGACGGCCGGCATAGATATCATGAGACCCGCCCACTATTACTACGAAAAAAGCCCTGCCTTTTTCCTTCAAACTAGGAGAGTCAGCAACTTCTATTAGCGCCGGACCTTGAGTCGAATTGATCGTGTCATGTGCAACGTCCATCAATGATGGTTCATTAATGTCCATTGATTTAGACTCCTTCCCCCTTCCCAACTACGAATAAGATCGAGAGGAGCCCCCCAAGAACGAAAACGGAAGCCTTTCGATTCACTCCCCATTATCTCTTAAATAAAGCTCGCCCTCGAGCCTTGGGCAGGTCGGCCGGGTCTTTCCCTGTTGTTCTGTTCCCGCCACGAGAAAGACGCACAGAAGGAAGAGGTATGCCCGGCGCGCAGAGGATCCGTTGAGAGTGTCTGTTGTATCGGTAGGGAACTTTACGATCTTTTCCCTGTATTGAATAAAAAAAAGAAGAGGTCAGTGCTACGGCCCTCTATTGTTTGATCCAATATTGACCGGGGACGAGCCCCGACTTCCATAGGGCCTTTCCTTGGTTTGACCTCCCGTAGTGGTCCTTGCTTTTAATAAAGCTCCGCGGGGCTAATTTATCGTACTTGCTCAGTGTGCCCCCCTTTCGTCGAGTGCCCCGCCCGGTTCACAGGGCTGTTGGCCTACCAAGCACTTGCCCGCAGCTCCTGCCGCCCGCCAAGCGGGCGGAGCGCTCGTTATCCTTACTGTTCTCTATGCCGGGGCCCCCTCCCATTGCTCTAGCCATAAGCTATGGCAGCTCCAGCTCAAGCTTTTGTTGCGACATGCTATGTTTTCTCCCCCATTGCTAGTAGGTTGATGGGTCGCACGCCCGGCACACATGTTTTGGCCTTGTCTTTTGTGTCCATAACTAAAAATAGGTGACCTAACGGCCGCCGCCCGACTAAACATACCAATAGTCACCAGATTCATATGGGCTACTGAGGAGTAAGCAATGATCTTCTTAAGATCGATCTGTCTTGAAGTGGTCAAGGAAGTATATATTATAGCAATCGCGCTTGGAGTATAAATGAAAGGAGTGGAACAAAGTGTTGCTTCGGGAAACATGGGTATTGAAAATCTTAAAAACCCGTGGGCTCCCAATTTTGAAGGAATTCCTGCCAAGATGACGGATCCTGCCGTAGGTGCCTCTACATGAGCTTCGGGTAACCAAATATGAACTGGTACCATAGGCACTTTGACGGCGAAAGCGGCGAAAGAAGCAATCCATAGAAAGATTTGGCGCCGCTCACTAAATTCTGTGGTTAATGATATTTGTAAATCGGCGGTCCCTGTTTGGAAAAGAATCAACAGAATAGCTAATAGCATAAAAACAGATCCAAGTAAAGTATAAAGGAAAAACTGATATGCTGCCTTGATCTTTCTTTGTCTCGAACCCCATACCCCTATAATAATGGTAGAGTAAGGGGTGGCCCCAAAGCGGAATTTACCGGTGGTGGTTGGTCGAAGCTCCAGTAGGTAGCCACTCCCTTCTCAGGGAACCGTACGTGAGACTTCCGCATCATACGGCTCCGTCCCGAGCTTCCGTCGTCGGCCCTTGTCATTAGACCACTATCTATGCATGTATATTAAGCCTGGACTCTCGAATCTTTTGCTTCTCGGGTGGTGGCGAACAATGCAGCTTGCGTTGCGGGAGATGCCCGCCCGTAGGGCCCGGCCCGCTTCTCGCCCGAAAGAACCGCTCACTTGCTAGCCGGACTAGTGGGGGGCCCTATCCGGAGACATACTGAAAACCATGCCTTTCGAACCGAACGCAACGCCCGTCTTCAAAATAATAAAAAAGGGAATAAAGATGGAGTGCGGCCTGTAGAGCACATGTAACGCACAGTCGGTTGCTCACGCAGTGGATCTCTCTCTAGATATCTAGAGATAGAGATGTGAAAGTCATAGCCTTTCTTTTATGGCCGCCCCGCCCCCCGACTTACGGCTTTACGCTACTACTACTGTGATGTGAGCGGTTCCAATTTGTTTCCCAATTCTCCTGGCCGGAACTTGTATGCAGCACTTATACGAAGGTGCATGCAGCAAGGTTTGGAACTATTTTCTTATCTGAATCTTTAAGACGGGACCCTACCCTATTATCGAACCCTCTACCGAGCTTAACCCTGCCCGCATTTCCTTTTTTTTTTAGGGGGCCAAAGAAATGTCTCCACCTGCTGCCAACAGTCTTTCTTCGGAATTCTACTGAACGGGTCGATCCTCCCCTCCCGTTTGTTTTAGCAACTTATCCTAAGGTCTCCTCACCGGGAGCTCCCCGGCGACGACAGAGGAACCAACCCGCCTGCTGTGGCGGGGCGGCTTTTTTTTTCACAATAAGACCTGGACGATTATCCCTACCCTCGGTAGCTTACGAGTTTACGTCCATCCCTGGTTGGGTACAGTTTCCTTTCGATTTTTCCCTTGTAGCCGTTACCCGAATTCGCGCAAGTGTGTCCACACCCCCCAAACTGACTTGACGAGGAATCCATTCTCGCGAACAAACACAACCCCTACACACACCTAGGAGCACCCCTTCCTGCATATCCATACAAGACCCGAGTAGGCGGGTCGAGGTCCTACGAGGTACCCACTACTCGGAGTACCCTCCCAAAAGGAAAAAGATGTGTCTGTCAGGTTCGGTTCGTCTTAGTTGGGTTGGGCGGGTTCGACCAGAAATGCTATGCTTACGCACAAGACTACCCCTCTTCCCGAAAGCTTCGCGGGGACTACTTTACGACGGACGACCGCCCGTAGGGGGTTTACTGCACAAGGCCCCTGCAGAGGAAAAGCTTTATCCCAGCGAATAGAAGATGCTCAGCTCCGCACAACATAGGGATTAGCACGCTTTCGGGAAGAACATAGAATAGTAGAGGATCCAGCATGCGGAACACGGCGATCATTAGAAATTCACGAATTAGAGATGCTGTAATATACTCTTTCCCATAACTTCTCATACCAGACCAACCCACTAAAATACAAATAGGGATAAGAAATGTGGTCAATATCACGAAGAAAAAAGAGAGACCGTCTATACCCAAATTAAAATTGATGTTTTCATAAGGAAGCCATCGAAGGCTTTCCACAAATTGAGATTTGGCCGTAGAAGGATCGAATTGTATCCGAGGAACAGGGGAATACAAAAAAGTAATAAGAGAGGCACACAGACCAATCAATCGTATCGGTCGTATTCTTGAATTTGGAATGAAAAGAGGAATAATGCTTCCTAGCACGGGACACAGAATAGGACCACTTAGATCAGAATAGCATTCACAGAAATGTTCTAACATAGAGTAGAATCGAACATTGAAGAGATTAGTTGACAACAGTCAAAAGATGGGCGCCTAATTCCAATACAATAGGGGTCTATCAGTGCAAGTCAGCTGAACACCGTGATTGATGAGTGGGTAGGTGGGTTAGGTGCGCCTCTCGTCCAGTGGGAAGTCTTGAGGCGAGTCTCCTCCCCCCTTCCTTTTTTTACTTTTCCTCTCTCCTTTTGCTTGTGCTTCTACCCGGGCTTTTCATTTTTATAGATTTTGAGAGACCCGAGGATATTTTTATAAGATTCATTGCTCGATTTTGCATGCTCTGCTCCCAAAATGCAGAGATACTTTCGAGGGCAGATCCGGGTTGGTCCGGGGAGAGGCGGGCTAAGTGAAAGAAAAAAAAGAATATGAATATAAATGGAGCTATGTCGACTTACGTACGTCTCGTTGACCAAACGATCAGGTATACCACGCCACGTATCATCCCCTCTTTCTATAGAGGAGAGATAAAGAAAAATAAAAGAGATAGCGATCGTGCCGTAAGACCTTGTTCGTTTCTACTTGACGTTATTTTCCTCGGTTTTTTTATTTGACATTAAGGCCTTTAGTTTTAGTAGGTTTGGGCTAGGTCGTTGCGCTCCTGCCACGTCTTGGCAAAGTAGGCTGATGGGCAAGCCTCCTCCTGCCGCAATGGTGTGGGGCGTCAGAGGCTGTTGCCCCGTCGCCAACTCGAAGGGGCCGAAGTTCGACGCAGAGCTTTTTGGTTATTAATTTATAGCAGCACTGAGCAACATCCAACAGCTCCAGTCCTTCTGGTTGGTTTGCTTGCACTAAAGTGCCTTAAGTAGCCCTCGAGGAGTCCGTTTATATCCGTCTGAGCTTTCAAAGATATACCGACCGTAGGTATCTTACTTACCATCAGATACCGACAGTCGTCTTCTAACATTACCGACCTTCAAATATAGGGTTTTCATCATCAGAAACAACCCGATTTCCGAGACCTCTTGCATTGCATTACCATAACGAAAAAAAGAGATAAATTGCTCTTGTGACTCGGAATGAACCTTTATCGGTGGAAGAAAGGAATAGCGATGGATTCCTATGAAGCATTCAGGAACAATAAGATTCAATCGGACGACGAATTCATACGTGGTCCAAGGAAATAAAAGGTCCGCTTCCACGATTTCATCTATATCGAATCTTAATATAAGAATAGCTTATATAGTCATGATTCAATTCAGGTCCACT